TATATATATATATTATATAATATATATATATATATAATATATATATGTATTAATGTAATATAAATAGTATATATATATATATATATATATATATATATATATATAATATATATGCATATGTGCATATGTAATATACATATACATAACATATACATATACATTACATAAACACACACCACACACCACACACACACACACACACACACACACACACACACACACACACACACACAACACACCACACACACACACACACACACACACACGTGTGTGTGTGTATGTATATATATATATATATATAATATATATATATATATATATATACACACACACACACACAACACATAATGTACATATAGATAAATGATACCTAACCACGTCCATTGAAGCAACAAAGCTGGAGCTCATGAAAACAATCTGAAATGCGCCGCACACACTTGAATAATCCTGGAGAATCTGAGGTCGCGCAGCAGCTTAGTATCGTTTCCACTTCTTACTTTAATTACAGTGTCCAAAAATGATCGCCCCTCGGATTCGTCCCCAGTCGACGACAATGCAGCCTTTTTGTGGCCGCCGGAATGTGGCAGGGAGGGAGGGAGGGCGGCGGGAGATTAGGAGAGGGGAAGGGTGGGAGGGGGGCATTTGGTGTTGAAGAATATGGTGAAATTTGGTATCATATCAAGAAGGAAAGTTATTCCATTGCGTGCTTCGTATGGTATTGATAACGAGTGACCTTTAACATTGAATGAATAATGTTATGTCACTGCGGATGAAGTTTTTTATAAGTGTTTTTATACTCCTTATTTCTCCCAGCGGACTCGGATTAATACACTTTTTCAAAATATGAAGGAGTTCTTTTGCCTCTAGGATAGTGGTGTTTCATACAGTGTGGTATCGTAGTGTAGATAAAACTAATGACTGCTCCAAATGATTTTGTTCCCTTTTTTGTCGAATAAGGCAGTGAGAAATGCTCGGCAGGTTAGACGCAGTGGACAGCCTGGAGAGCAGGGAGATGGAGAGGGGACTGTAAGCCGAGAAGTGTAGGTATAGCTGTAACTGTCGCGCTCTGGGTGTGGTGGTGACATGTTGTTGGAGGGGACGGAGGCTCGGCTTCGCTCATGGCCGCGGTTCACGCACTAAATCGCGTCGCAAGAGGACCCGTCCCTGGCGTGCGGGCGTGCGTCTGGTCCCCGCATTTCTGTTGTTGTTATTATCAGTTAATTTCGCTGATTATAGGCGGGAATTTAATTTTCACGCGTGTTTGCCATAATCAGGATTAACAGCCATAATATTCGGGCTCATCATTGATATTGGAAGCGTCGGTCAAACTTTTTTTTAATACAAAACGCGCGTGCCACGTCTGGTCAGTTTTGGTGCTGAGCGAGAGGCGGCCACGCCAGCCCTGACTCCCCGGCAACACCAATAATTTGTGCACTAGAAAAGTTTGCAAATTGTTGCAACACGGTGCATAAACCCTTTCCATTATGCTTTAACATTAGGAGGGATTTAGCTGATCAAACTCAGAACATATGACGACCGAATCTCATTTGATATGTGGCGTTATTTCCAATGTCCCTTTTTCCTACCAATTTTTGGGTCATCTCCCAATCATGCTTGGTATTTGTTACCTGGGAAAGTGCCCGAAATAAGCGCCGATAATTGTAAGCTGGAATTCACCGCTGTTATTATTATTTTGGATTCGGTTCGGGGCGCTGCGAGAGTGGGCCACGCGGAGGGCGGCTTTCGGGTAGCAACAACCGACGAAGGGGTCTGGCAGAGGCGGGGAGCCAGATAAAGTTCTGCTCGCAGACCCAGGGCAGATGTGCATGCGGAAAGTAGCGAATAGGATTGATGGACTGGTCCGTTCTAGGAATTATTGGGAGGGGAGGCGCCCGCGAGCTTAGCAGCCCGATTCAAGTGCTAGCTGTTTTATTCACCTGGTTGTTATAACCTGCGAATCAATAATGTTGCATTCGTCATATGCAATACCGTTCCACTCTCGGCGTCTGTACCCGCCTCACGCTCAAGAGGCAATATTTTGCGGGCTGCAACTTGAGCGGCGGCGCTGCGGGGCTCCAGAAGCTCTCCGGATGCAATTTGCCCCGACGTGCTTCCTGCGCATCTTTTGCAAGAAGCAATAATGGCCAGCCCGGGGCGACTTGCAGGACGCTTTGCCTTACCTTGTTTACAAGCATTTTGGCTCGCGGGTTCGGGTGCAAAATTTCAAGACGGAAGGCAAATGCAATTTAAATATTTGCGCCGGTAATGGAAACGGCGGAATGGGTCCGCTGCGTTAATTTCTCCTCGGGTGAAGCGCCTGCATTTCTAAGCTGCAACTTGCAAATGACTGCTCCGTTCCCTGGGAGATTTACACAAAGTACGCTGTCTTGTTGCCAGCCTTCGGGCTCGTCCTAGGATCGCTCTCTCTCTCTCTTTCTCTCTCTCTTTCTTTCTTTCTTTCTTTCTTTCTTTCTTTCTTTCTTTCTTTCTTTCTTTCTTTCTTTCTTTCTTTCTTTCTTTCTTTCTCTCTCTCTCTCTCTCTCTCTCTCTCTCTCTCTCTCTCTCTCTCTCTCTCTCTCTCTCTCTCTCTCTCTCTCTCTCTCTCTCTCCATTATCATCACCATCACGGTAATTATTTTTATTTTACAAATATTATTCTTCATTATGTTAATAATAATTGTCATTGTCGTTATTATTTTTGTTGTAGCAGTTATTATTTTATAATTGTGATTATTATTTTATATTTATCATTATTATTACTTGTTGTTAATATTATGCTATCACTATTATTATTTTATATTATTATCATATATTATTACTATTCTGCTATATCCTTTTTTATAACCATCATCACTATTATCATTGCGGTTATTATTATTAGTAATACTTTGTCATCGCCTCTGTTATTCTGCCTCTCGTTTTCGTGATTATCATGAGCGCCTTCACGGACATGACTTCCTTTCTTTTTCCTTCATCCGCCCTTCCTTCTTCACTTCCCTCTTTCCGTCCTCTCCTGCCTTCCTTATGCTTCCTCTTCTCTTCCTCCTTTCCTCCTTCCCTCCCGCGTCCCCGAGCCGTCACGAGAGGCGCGGAGTTCCGGCACGATTCCTGGGCGCCGCCCGGTGCATCCTAATCCGCGCCGCCTCGCCGTTCCCTTCGCCCGTTCCTTCGCCCGCCTTCGCCCGCCCTTCGCCCGCCCTTCGCTGCGCCGTTCCCTCCCCTTCCCCTCCTGGGCTGTCAGTGCGCGGCGGACGTGAATGGAGTAGATAGATTGACAGGTAGATGGATAGGTAGATAGATGGATAGATAAATGTATATGGGTAGATGAATAGATACAGATAAATGATGGATATAAAATACATATATATGTAGAAACATGTATGTGTGCCTTTGGTGTACCCTTTCCATCATCCTATATATATTATATATATATAATATAATATATATATATATATATATATATATATATATATATATATATATATATATATAGTATATTTATATATATATACATATATATATAAATATATATATATATATATATATATATATATATATATATATATATATATATATATATATAATATATATATATATATATATATATATTATATATATATATATATATATATATATTTATATACATATATAATATATATATTATATAATATATAATCGTACATATATCATATATGTGTATATATAATATATATATATATATATATATATATATCGTACATATATCATATATATGTGTATATATACACACATATATATATATGTGTGTATGTGTGTGTGTCAGTGTGTGTGTACATTAATGAGAGAGGGAGAGAGAGAGAAAATGGTGAGGTAGCTGTACCCAAGTGTCTACAAACCCATATACTTAAACATACAGATATATCCCTGTTCGCGCTGACGCACCCTCGTCCCTCGCACGAGTGCGGTGTCTCCGGCCCCTTTCCCCTCCCGGCGAAGGGCTGCCGCGCGCGAGCCCCCCCCGGCCCCGGGATGCCTCCGTCGGAAAATCCCTGCCTTTTTAATTCACTTTGCCCGCAATTTGAAACCCTTGCTTATTAATATACGATCAAAGATAAACTCCGCGCGGCTTGGCCGAGGGAACAACATCAATGGCACACTCGCTATCAGAATTAATTACCCCATTAATTATGATTTTGTTCATTAAGAGCTTCTACGTAAAAAATGGCTAATTGTTAAAAAGTTGGTGTGATGTAGGTCTTCTCCGAGGCCTCAGTGAGCGCCGTTTTCTTCGTCAAAAAAGGAAGAGAGACATGAGGGCATTCAACTTCGACCCCTTTGACATGAGCTCGTAAGTGTGGTATTAGCATCCGCGCGTCATTGTTGCCTTATAAAGACCGCCACTCAAAGCTCTGGGGAAAAATGGCCTCTCCCCCTAACTTTTCCATTTAAACCAGCCCTTTTTTCTCTTTCCTCTTTTAATTATCGCTCCCTTTTTCCAAGCGGCGCCAGTTTTACAGCTACTTTTCATATATTATCATAGCAATTCCTCAGCCATTGGCACGCACGCCACATCGGCTCTAATTAATCCTGTGTATAGAGGTGGTTCACTTGGCTTACTTCGATCAGGATCGAGATTCTCGAGAGATAAAGCTGAGCAACAGCGGAAATGCTCCTTCGAGTTTCGCCAGGGGAGTGATTTGCCGCCGTCTGCCGGCCAGGCGAAAATCGAATCTACGACGCTCATGCCTTAGGCTCGAAAGCAGATGATCATTAGCATGCCTTTGATGGAATGCAAGAGCGACTGACGTGCCGACGGAGGGAGGCCTGGGGTCGCTGGCGGCGGCGAAGGGCGTCGTGCATCGCCGGAGTGCCGCCGGAGCGTCTGCCGCCATGTTGTATGCCTCCCGCCGGCGTCGCCCGCCCGCTTTCCTTCTCTCGCTTCGCACTCTGCTTGCGCCGCCCCTTCCATCACAAACCGACGTTGCGTTAATTGTTCCCCGCTCGTCTTTTCTGGCAGAGGAATGGCGGTGGATATTGGCAGGGCTTGGTCCCTCCGCTCTCGCACTGATCCGATCTACGCCTCACGTGAATTTTCTTTTGTTTCCTTCTTTTCTGGGGTATGTTGTGAAGAATATATTACCTGATGATTTAGGAGGCAGACAACGGTGTAACTGGTAGTTCTTCATTTGCGGCTGAGAACTGAAATAATGCAATTTCTTGGAAGGTACATATAGTTATGAGATGCAGTAATGATTATAACCATGATGATAATGATTATGAAAGCAATGCTGATAATTACAGGTCATGCTCTTCTGGAATATTATTACGTATTTTATGTTCTGTTCTTTTTCAGTTCTGATAATGAGATAAATTGATTGTAATAAGAAAAAAAAACAATTATACATATACCTATTCGCAAATCCACTTGAACCCAATGATTATGATAATGACATAACAATAATAACAGCAGTAAAAGATAACCATTCTTCGTTCCACTCAACACCCACCGATTCTAACACGCTGTCTCGTTACTTGCAGAGAGCAGCAAATGCCCAACGCCGGGATGTAACGCCGGATGTAATAACCGGCAAGCAGGGCACCGCGACGGCCTCTACTCCCACCACCGCTGCCCTGTTGTCTTGCCCGAGCAGGGAACTAAGGGGTGCCGCCGGAAATGGTCACCCGCCGCCCA